AACCCACAAAAAAATACTTAGGACTCCAGTTGGGATATTCACCTTTCGCTTGATTATCTACTATTTCTCTGCTACTTGGAAGAAGTATTCCCAGTTACTACAAAAAGGCCAAGAAATTGATATGAACGTAATAATATTTGATTATTTGAACTCTGTTCAAAAGTGTGGCAGCGGTCTAGCCTCATGCAGACCCTACTTTCAACTTTTCGTCGTACTGTATAGAATAGAAAGGAAATGTATGAGAGTTGCTCAGTCAAATCCTTACAGTTCAATAGCTGTGAAAGAATTTCAAGGACGAATTTTTATACTGCACTTGCCTGCCCTTGAGAGACCGCTTTGAAACTGCTCTATATTATATGGTTTACACTGCGATATAATTGAAATGAACGAAATTGAAAGGAGAAGGATGAACACGTCAGTGAGAAAGAACCACTTTCTTCAGTGACTTTGAAGCAAATGTAGGAAGGGGTCGAGTTTTACAAGTTTAGAGAAGATCTCGTTCTCTCATCTATGTATATGCGATAAGAGAAGTCTAGCAGCGAATCCACCCATTATCGCAGTTGTCGTGCGATGGATCAAATCTGATGGTGAGTGAAAACCGTAAGAGAAAACAATAAGCATACATAAATGGAACCAAAGGTGTCTTAGAGGATCTGAATAGGATAAGAAATAAAATCGAATTTCAGGAAAGGCAATGCACTCTGAAAGAGACGACCGTGCTCGCTATTCGGCACAACTGAGGTTGCTGACGATGAGCACTTCCTCACACGAATGAACTTCGGAATGGCATTTTGCAGTGTTCGTTCAGGTAATTCCCAGTTATCGGACTGAGAGGGGTGGATGGCCGGGTTGATGGGTTTGCTTAGAGAGGAGGACAATATTGAGATTGACACTTGAAGAGGCCTTATGGGAACGGCAGCATTTTTCAGTGCTTCACATACTCCTACTCCTATTTATTGGGTGGGAAAAATCCATTGGTCTGCAGTAAAAAAGATTACTAACCAAGCACGAATCAGATTATCCTGCAGATTGTATCAGGGTGGCAACTAATTGTAAGTAATTCCATATAATCTGAGGAAATATAACCATCCTTTTCTTCATGAAACGAAATTGCGTATCCTGTTCCATATTGACCGTAAATACTCAGACTTACTGAGAAAACACGCAGTTACTCTTAGTTACTTAACTAATTGAAATGCAAGTTATATCAAAATTGCAGGTACAGGCGATACTTCCCCGCAAGTTTTAGCTACCTCGAAGTGTTGTGGATGAGTTGTTGAGGAAGGAAATGTGCAAAATGATAATGTTTTCAGGGAAAGGTTTTATTTTAAACTTGCCGACAACTGTAGGTACGACCATTAGCCGAATCGCCCTCCTTCAAAGTAAGTGATGAATTAGGTTCCCGATTAATCAAGTTTGCCAAATGGCCTGCCCCTAATTTTGTGTTGTGATGAGTTCGAGGGTATGTAGTGGCAATGACTTACTAGTTTTAGGTGAAAATTTTCTAAAATATTCGCCTTCACTTTCACCTTTCCGTGATGGCAGCAAAAGGTACATTAAAGGTATCGAAACATTAAGGCATGTCGATCAAGTCTAAAAGTAAAATGATGAAAATATGCAGAGAGTGAGCAATGAATTTGAGAAAATGGGAGTGGAAGGGTTGAACAGAGCAAAATGATACGTTCCCATTTTGTATTTTGGTCTTGCGAACTATCGAGTACTTTGGAGCGAAGTTCACTTGTGTTGATCAATGAATCTGTCTCTTTCAGAGGTTAACAATATGGCCAAGAACCGATCGCGATGATTTCCTGATAGACTCAGGTAAAGAAATGGTTTTGATAGTTTGAACCGATTGCCCTTCGTTTGAGAACTGCCATTTTACCGGATTCTCCTCCTTTGATAGCTGGAACCTAGGTAAATTCAACTCGGAACTGTTTTTTCACCTATTTATTTATTTGTTTATTTATTCATTCAATGGATACGGCAAGAGTGTACCCCCGAGTTCAATAAGTCAGAACTACAGCTCAAGTTAGGCTAGAATGAGGTCATTGGAGCTTGGGCTTTCCATCCTCGGCAAATGCTTTCTCCACCCAGCATATAGTTTGTTCTTAAAATAAAAAAATCAGTTGCTAAATTAATGATTTAATTAGAATTAAGGCAAGAGGCCGTCTCAACGAGTCCTCGCAAAACTGACGTCAGCCTTTCTCACGGCTTTTTGTCAAAAAATCTCTTCCTAAACGCACGATTGAGCCCAAAAAAAANAAAAAAAACAAACGTTGTGCTGCGAATTTATAATGCACTTTTGAGTTTACGAATATCTGAACAGTTCGAATTGAACAGAGGTCAGAAACGTCAGAGCAACTCCATAAGAATCGCATATAGTCAGTATCAGAATTGAGGATGGATGACTTCAAAAATTTTCTGCAAGACATGCCACACGATCATTTTTAGTCAGAGATCAAGCTTCAGCACTACCTAGAAGCCTATTGACCTGATAGAAGATGCTAGAGCGCTCATGTGGAGCTTTGGGAGTGTCGAAGGATACGGATATTAATTCAGACCATAATAACCGGAGAAACTAGTGAGAGCAAAGAATCTCTTAAAGGCACAGCTCACGACAATTTTGATGTACCCATTTCTGGTCGAAAAGCGGAAGTATATGTTGGAAATAGTTCGTCTGTAGTGAAAAAAGCGAGAGAGTTCATCGATTTCGAGAAAAGTAAGGCTCCTTAAAAACGGGAAAACAGAGGTTGGACGAGATTACCACGGCGAAAATAACATGGAAGGGGTATACGGACGAGGTTTCAGTTATTGCAATTGCTCAAAGAGCTGACTACCACAAGNCTTGTGATGGGTGCAGCCTCTACAATGCCGCTGAAGCTCGTCCGAGGATACACACTAGCCAATTTTTGAGCTTTTATAACTCCCTATCTAGGCCGTTTTCCGACTTAATAGTGCCAGATATGGTATACGCGGGTGCCTCAATTTCATCCTATGGGGGAACCTCAGGAACCATTTTTATCGTGAACTGTGTCTTCAAAGCATAAAAGCAAGAAAAATGAAAGGCTGATGTATCTGAGCTTGAATTTTGTATAGCTAATATTACTTCTTTACAAGTATCAGTTTAGAGATATAGAACGCAAAATGCAGGTCAAGATCGACCTAAGATGTTTGCATGGTCTTGTTTTCTGCTTAGGTCACGCCCACATGCGGTTTTGTCATGCATGACGCCAAGGTCTTCTTTGCAGAGCTGACCTATGGTCTTTTGCCGGAAATAGCGTTGCATCTGACCATTTTCGTTTGCTATCTATCCGTTTCTTTACTTTATTTCGGCTGAGGTCGGGGTGATCAGTGCACTCTCAAATACGCCAGAGAGGGTACCGAATCCTGGTTCGAAAGTGGTACAGGTTACTGGGCTTTCTAGCTATCCTTGAGTTGGTGATTGATGCCATACTCGTCTGCGAGTTTGTACACTGGCTGGCCAGCACAAGTTAGTATAAGTCATGTGCTCTTCAATACACCACTAGAATATAGAATAGTTCTGAATAGAAGTCGAAGACGAGTCGCATCCCCACAAAGAGATTCGTTAGAGACCCGTTAGAGCGAGATTAGTCCAAGCTCATTGAAGTCTAAAGTCTAGACAAACTTTTGGGGCGTTATTAAACCCATGAGGGATGCGCCCACGTATTCGACTTCGAACTTTGCCAACTTTGAACGATGCCTCAAGAGTGCTTTGCTGAGAGCAGCTGCATCACCTCTCCCTCAATTTCATTGCAGTACAATTCTACATTCAGTTTCATGGTAGTAAATGCAGTAAATAACACTTTTAGCAAGAATTGACCTTCAAATTAAAACTCCAGCAAGGAAATCGAAATCGCTTCGCCAATGAAATAAAATGAAGGAACTCGATGGTATTGTTTGTATAATGCCGTCCGAAGGTCACTCCGTTATTTCCACTTCCTGGTTACGGATTTTTTTTACTCAACTAGGAATGTTACTGTAAAAATGGATGAACAATACAGTCGCATGTCCCTGACGAGAAAATTCATCGCTACCATACTCCAAATTTAACAAATTGTTCACTGGTAAGCGTGTGTGCAAAGGAGTCATTGTAAGGGCAGCTGTTGCAGTTTCCCTCTAAAATGGCATTAAACGGCAGTTATCCTGGCGTCTTGGAATGCAGTAATTTAATGATATTACTACAAGATTCCCGACAAGAAAGCTCTCAAACTCCCTTGGTAACAGGGCTTTTGACTCCTCGTGCTTTTCCAGATCAGAAAAGAAGAAATTCTTATAGTGTTGCCCCGGTCGGGACTATCATATGACTGAGAAATGTTTTTGGTTCTTTCCAATATTAAGCTCCCATCACCGCGTTATCATGTCCTGTCTAGAGCAAATCGTTGAATATTTTCATCGCCTAAGAATAATGAGGTGGCGGAACTTTCCCCGATTCCCCACGTCGTTTCCGGCGCACAGCATATCTTCTTTAGTTGTCTAGCGACTTGAAACTGCAATTACCATTTTTAGATTTTCACCGTCTACTGTCCAACAGAGCCTACTTCACCATCATGTTTTCAGAAGAAAATGCGTTCTTAATCGGACGAAAGANGAACGCTGATTCTATTCAAAAGGAAGCGCGTTTGTTGTACAGTCGCTTGAAACTGACAAATAAAATTACCCCAATTAGAACCCCGTTCACGGATCAATTTCATCGTTATGATTTCCAACAGTTCCGCCTGTAACAGCTCAAAAGCGCAGTTGCCATGTTCCCATGCACCTTTATTATTTTTACAAGAAAAGTGTGTGGAACTATCACAGAATCGGCTTCAGGCATTTCGATGAGAACGATTTGCCATTAAAAATCGTAGCGAGACGTGGATCATGTTCAGGGTGTGCAGTATTAGGAGCAATTCAGTTTGTTTGCTCCATGAAGCTGCTCATGGAGAATGAGTTTCGTCAACCGAATCAGAGAATTCAATTCTCCAAAGTAATTGTACAGTTTATTTCTTTGTGACGACAAGAAACACAAAGATAACATCGTCGCCGTTCACGTCGACGGCCGTTGTCCAGTAAGGAGATCGAGCGCTTCCTTGTAGTACGGCAGTGTTGAACAGTTCAACGCATTTTGAGACTTTAAGACCTTTCCTGCAAACGAATCCTGTGATTCAACTATATAAAACGAATATGTTTCGGATCTTGACTGCTCCTCAGAATGCTTTTGTGCTTTCCTTACCAAAAACTTATATAAAGAACAAAAGGATAGAGTTTCGGCTTCGATCAATCCCATTCTGGGATGCGCCCTTGCATTCGATTTCCATTTTTAATCGTATTGACGTATTAAATGCGTGGGGAGGGGGCTTTGCAATGAAGTGTAGTGGTCAGCCGAAGGACAAGTCACTGTTTTTATTCTCCCCGACGACTATAATACCCCGAAGAGTCGAAAGGTTTAGTTGGCCGAAGCTGGTATCGACTCAGACTTTGATCCCGGACCATACGTGTATGATTCCACCTGCCACTACACCTCCTTTACCCTTACACCCTACATATGTACATATACTCGACGGCACTGAAAATTGGCTGTTGAATATGATGACGTTGATTTTTTTGGCCTTTGATTACCTTATCATTTTCCGTGCTAGGTCCAGCTCTATGATAGTTCCAAGGCCCTTGCCGCGATGTGAATCGAACACAAAAAGATGATTTAGCACGCCTATGTGGTCGACCATTTCGAATCCTACTGGCATGCCATTGTAGCGTACACAGCTGGACGGAAAGCTCCTTAACTTAGCCCTAAAATGAATAACTTCTCATATTCATGAGCAGCAGTTTGCAACAAAGCGTCTGTGACGTTGTTTGTTCCTCTTCGTTCTGACCAGAGTGTATCCATGTCTTTGTGATCACTTCGGCATCGGAATCTGGATCAGCAGAGCCTAAAAATCAATATTTCTGCTGATATTAAACAAGGAGCTTTATCCCTGTCCTGCTTAGTCCTGCTTGCTGCGCACGAGTAGGACAGCGACAAATGGGGTCGACATCGATGTATGTAATTTTTGGACAAAATCGTGAGGTGCATTTCCAAACCTCGGTGCATTTGGACATGTGTTTGACTCATAGAATAAGTTCTACAGCTGCAAGGAGCACAGCACGGTCGGTACATACTTGCTCGACTGGCACGAGCGTTGCAGATACACACGCCTTCTCGAAGAGAGTCTTATTTGGACTCATCTGCCCCGTTTACCGAATAGTTACCAGCAGCTGGCCATAGGGTGTAGCAGGGTAAAGCAATGATGTTGCCTGGAAGTCAGGGAGGAAGGACTATCGCTGAGCGTAGAGGTAACGGAGCGCCAGCACTGAGCCGAGGGACGTTCGCTAAATGCAGACTGTCACTAACCTAACTCGTATCCATCGGGCAAATCCGGTGGTGGTAGATTTCGGACTAAGTCTTCCTGCTCACGAGTCATGTAAAATAGTTTAGTGGGGTATGGACGAGCCAGGAATGACTGCTTCACATAGTATTCCGACACCTGAAAAAGAAATCGAAGCTGAAGCAATTAGCCAATTTAACAGAAACTTTTCATGCTCCAAATAAAGACAGTACTACCATCTTTGTAAGACGCTCTTCACCAATGAAAAGGACACCGTTTGGCAGCGACAGCAAATTGAACAGTTCTGCAATTGAGTCGTTGAAAGCTTCCGCCTCGAACTCGCCACATCGATAGAGTAGAATTGAGTCTCTGATAGAATCACAACGTAAGTGAAGCTCGAAAATTTGTCGGAAACTGGGTACTTGAAAAGGCCACTGTGAAAGTGCACAGTTTCAGACATGACGCTTGACTTTATCAACAAAAATTTCAGAAACCCGGCAACTACTACTTGAAAATTGGCAGTCGACATCTACCGTCACTTCCGTTGGTCAACTGATGAACAGCTTTTTCCTCCCAGACGAGACTGGCCCTATTTTATCGAAACCAAAAAGGTAGAGCGCTTGATTGGCTGGGGTGGCATCAATCTGCAATCCTCGATCGATCCTCGGACTATGCGTGCGCTACATGTCGCAACATGCCGCAACATAGGATTAGGGATATGCATCATGTTGGGCAAGGGTAAACTTCCTGAGGTGCTAAGTGGGTTGGGGGGGGGCCACGCGTGGGCGTGGCGTCTTTGCATGTCTGCGCCCTCTCCGGCGAGATAGTAGACAAGGAGGGGGGTAGGCGAGCCCGCAATGGTGTTTAGGGACGTTTGATAGCTTTTTATGTTATAACTGTGTATTTTTACCTAATTTAAGAAAAGGGGGGAGGGGCTCCGGGGTGGGTGAGCCAATTGGACGTTCAACTTGTATCTCATCTAAGCTTTTTGCACGAGATAACCATCTCACCCACTC